AACAATGTCAACTTGTCGCTTTGGTTGGAATAAAGTATATAACGGGTTTGTGGTTCTGGGTTTAAATTTATTTTTATAAGGATGAGGATGAATCCAAGATTTGATTCGAATTACTAGTGATTTACCTAAATGTGTCCCACTGTATAAAAAGGAAAAAATAACAAATAAAAGTTAAATTAAATTAATCGCTGGAATTGTTGATAAAAAGAGTACTCCTTTTTTACCAAAGCATAAAAATCATCATAGTGTGGAATAATCTTTCCATTCTTATCAAACGATTCCCATTTTGGGTTTTCCCCCGTTCTAAATGAAGAAAATTAAATGAACGTGTAAATTTTGCTAAGCTCAAACCAAATACGAATAGATGGAAAGTCTATAATTGTGAATAAATGCAATATCAAAACCCTCTCAAGACCGTTGTCTCACAAAATCCCATTCACTCTATCTTTCTAATTTTCAGAAAGTTACCTGTCACTTGGCATAATCATAGTACGGTACAAACTGCTGTAAAATATTGTCCTTATCTCATCGTCACCGCCCTCAACCACTATCTTCTCTAACTCTCTTTCCCAAGCTTTATTTGCCTCTCTCTTTATTTGTATAAAATCAAAATTTGGAATCTCTGATTCTGCATTTTGGCAAGCCTGCGTGGCCGAGATGAAGGAGATCCCAACTCTGGATCTTATTACTCGTGTACTATTGATTGGTAAACAAGGGAGCAAGGGTATATCAATTAAATATTATATGATCCCAACAATATTATTAAGCATGCTATCAGACCTGTTCGTATCAAAAGTTAGAATTGCACCGACAGAATGCCCATCTGCTCCAACATCAAAACTTGTGTTCGTTATGACAAAGTTCCACCAAGTGGAATAAAATATCGCCGGAGTATCAAATTGAGAGCAGAAATAGACCTTGTAAGGGCCACCTTGGTTCCATCCGCCTGAATATCGACCCATGCCTTTTACCTGAGTATTGTTCACAGAATAGATAGCACCATCATGGAATTTTCCTCTATGAAACGCGTCATTAAATTTAAAATTAATCTTTTTTTTTATGAAATTTTTTGTCGTAAGATGCGATTGTACAAAACTTACACGCACCACGGACATTCTTGTTTCAAAAAGTGAGATATATCAATTATCACATGAGAATTGTTATTAGCGTTTTCGGGATAGGTGTATTGATGTAATGCGGCTCGTCGGGTGGCTGTTAACTCTACAGTAATGTTATATCGCTCAAGACCAAATATGGAATAACCAGGTGTGAAGCGTTCAAACGACCTTGGCGATTTTATGACGGAAAGATTTAGCTCAGAGAGTGGTACGACAATCGGAAGTTGACTGATTACACCATATTTTGCTTCCCCTTTAAAAAGAAAATAAAATAAAATGAATATTGGTAACGCTCGTAATTTTGTTTTTGATATGTTTATGCGCATACGTACCTCCAGTGCCACTCACATGTAAATCTAAAAGATCAAATAAACAAATTGATATTAAATTAAATTTATATTCATACTTAAATTCTAGTCACTTTAATGGTTGGTCAAATACGTGCGTGAAATCCCCGTGACGTCTCCTCTAACTGTGTATCTGATTTGAAAAAAGATCAGAACATTTACCATAATTGATCATAAAGAAAATGTAGATATATACCCAGCATGAAAATCTTCGCTAAAGTCGGTGTCAAGTCCAACTTTCACCATTCCAAATGGCAAACATGCTCCTGGAAATATATGACCCTCTGAAGAGAAGATATACTACATGTTACATAATGCCAAAAATGCATTTTCTCTAACCAAATACCCTAATTTATTTATGTACCGTTATCAGTCCCGATTCTAAGATCCACAAAGTTTGTCAAATTTAAATTCAATAGTTCATCCGTAGACTCTAATGATGGCGACGTCCATATTGTCGTATTACTTATCGAAAACCCTAATATAATTATGAGTATTATAGATGATAATATTATTTGATTTCGCCTCGCCATCTAATAATTTATGGGGAATCAATAGTTCTTATGCGCTAGTATGGTTTTAAAAATATATATAGTGGTTGCAGTTATCTGTTACTGTATTAATTGTAACAGAACATTCGTTCGACTTTATACCAACAAAAAAAAACATTCATGCACCCATTAATATATATAACCCGTTACTGCATGAGTGTTTATGGTTCTTACAACAAAACTTGTATTGTTTAACTTATACGTGCCCATGTGTCCACCACACTGCTCATACGTAGTTCCGCCTCTTCCATTAATTAATTCATCTGATATGAATAGTTGTAAGCAAGTCAATCCTTTTAAACAAACATGAATTTTAGATCCAAGGTACAAAACCATGATTCTCGTAAAATGGCTGCAACCAGATCAACCTGACGAAACCAGATGAATCTGGAATCCTGAATGATATACGGTGCAGCGTTTGTTTTGATATAATTTAATAACACATAATTATTTAAATAAGGTACACTGCACATATTGTTCTATTTTTGTCGATTACTTATTAAATAAATATTATTAAATTCTGAAAAAAAAAATAAATAAATTACAATGTTTTTATTTATCATTTATTTGATATTTTTCAATAAAAAAAAACACTTAATATATCGCACGTATGAAATAAAGAATTAAAAATATATAGTGTAATGATTTATAATTTAAAGTAAAAAAAAATCTTTTATTGTAATATTTTATTTAATCCTGATTTTTATTGTCATCACATATAATTTTTTTTTAAATAATAAAGTTGTTAAATATTTTTAATATTGTTATTTATTTAAAAAAATACATTTATAATATTTAAATCCTTGTTTCAAAAAAAAAAAATTTTTTTTTTTGCTGTTAACAATAAATTGATTTTTAATTAATTTATATGTAGTATACTGTATAATATATTACAAATCTTTTATTTATTTATTATATTAAAAACTATTATATAAAATTATATAGAAGTAGAATTAGAAATTTAAAAATATAATAATAATAATAATAATAATTTTTTTATTATTATTATAATTTTCATTTATATAATTCACGAAATTTTTAAAACAAATTTCAAATACAAAAAAAAATTTTTTTTATAATTTTTTAAAGTTCTAAAATAAGAATCGTTCATTTCACGTGGAAAATCATAAATTTAATAATTTTATCGACTCGAATTACTGTATTTTATTAATAAAAAAAAATTATTCGATCGAAACTTTGTAATTTTTTTTTTTCACATACAAAAATTTATCATATTATAATACTGTGTATATTATCGATAATTTTTGTTTAATATAATTTAGAATAACGATTTTCTTATATTTTTTCAATTACTTAAGTTATCATTTTTAATTTTGTGCATTCAATTTACTCTTTAAAAAAAAGATTTGAAAAATTTGGAAAGAACATAATGAAGGGTAGTAGCCTTAATATATAGTAAATTATCTATTTGTATATAATATTGCTAAATACATTTAAAATATTATATGTGATCCACGAAAGCATTGCAGATCTCATTAAACAATTTCGATCAAGTAAAAAAAAAAATTTATATCAAGAAATGATCAATTTTTTGGTTGCAAAAAAAAAAAAATAGGTATTTTTATTTCTGAATGTATTTATAAACTAGAAATGCACACATATGTGCAGGATTTGATGTCTATTGATTACAACAGGATATCCATATTCATATCTTCTGGAGAGCGTTATAAACCATCGAATTAAGGAAAATGTAATATCACAGAAAAGTCCTCGTATGGCTTGACCTGAGAAGGTCGTGTTTCTATTAATATGATGTATCGATATTAAAATTAAGGAAGTCTAAATTTTCTGTTAATTTTAAAAATGGATGTGCTTCAGTATTAAAGACGTAAGTGTCCAATGAAATTAAATCTGGAGGACTGAATATTAAATATAGGTATTTTAACGTTTCCGCAAGGAAGAAACTTTTTTTTTAAAAAAAAAGAATACAATTAATCATAGTAGATAATTTAAGAGCATTTGAATAAATTCGATGAAATTACGAGTAATCACCTTTCCATGCAGTCATCTTTGATGACGTAGTCAGAATCCACATCTAATAGTCCTGAATAACCAGCAGGTGTCTTGGTCCATTTTTCTAATGACTAGAGCAAAAGGGAACAATTATGTGAACAAATTTCTTTAGTCCAGTTATTTGATCAAACGCAATATTACCTGCCATATATCCCATGCCTGTTCCTGATATTTCTTGTCTCCAGTTATTCGGTATAAGATAAAAAGACTCTCGACGGTTTCTGTGGGTAAAAATATGTCAATCAGCTTTCTACTTTACGACATTGATGTGGCTAAAAACCATTTCTTCAATTTTGTTGCATGCTGACCTGGTCTAAGTAATGAATAACTTGGACCTAATCTAACAATCCCCTTTGGAAGATGATTTCTATATCGTGAGCCATCTCGTTTTAAAATCCACGAGTCATCATTGTCAACATTGCCAGCATTGTCAGCATTATTATTTTCTTCCTCCAATATTTCGAACCAAACTTCTTCCGCTCCAATTCCAGTCTTTGTTATTCCATATGACCAATAACACGTTTCCGCCAATCTTATTGCAACTTCAAGATCTTTTGGTCGGTCGAAAATTTTTGACCCGATGGCCAGCATTCCAGGGACAAAGCATGACTATTTTTTTATGATATCGTTTTTAATCAAAACATCACTTAATCATAATCCACTTGACTTAATCAAACATTACCAAATGACCCATTTTCCCGAGAAAATCGCTAGTATTATCTAATTCACCGATAAATAATAGATCCGGTCGTTCTTTCACTGGACTTTCTTTAATCAGATATTTATGCATGTTTTCGATTGATTCTATATCTTTTGAGCATAATTATTGGATTAAAATCAGGCATTGAATAATTTTTGTCAGCTATTTACTATTTTTTTAAAAAAATACACATACACATCTCTCGATATTTATCGAGTGCCCCTCTGACTAATACGTGCTCCTTAATGAGGTACTATAGAAATTGAATAGATATGATTAGACTAATAACCAAATCCTGGTTAAATAGACCAAACCTAGAAATACCTCGTAAAAACTATCTCCGTTAGCTCCAAACGATATTTCCTCTGATTAAAAATTCAAATATATTAACATATTAAAGAATGATCAATTTAAACACATTATACGAATTCTTACCGCTCGTAAAGTTTCCTGACACTAGAGAATTCACCAAATTATTTATTAGCATTTAAATAATCATATTACAACCATTAACTTAATAAGTAGCTACTTGGATCAAACCTTGACTAAGTTTAACAGGGTACAGTCCTGGAATTTTTTTGGGAGCTTTGAAAATGACTTCGGTAATGTTATCAACCTTTGTACAATTCGAAATATACGTAAGCAACCATTTATAAAAAAGACTTGTTGATAAAATAATTAATGGATCACTTACTTTAGTGAAAAATTCACGATCACCAGTTAACTGGGTTAGTTTTGTGAATTCCAAGAGTGAGGTTCCTACTTCGGCTAGTAAGCCGCCTCCCCAAGCATACGTCTCTTCTTCATCTCTAGAATTGATCGAAAAGTGTTAGCGTACAGCAGTAACAATAATAAAAATAAACAAAGCACCTACGGATTAAGACGTAGGTAATTATAAGGCAGTCCAGTGGGGCTATTAAAGGCAGGCAATAAAGCGATTCCCAATTCTCTTGCTTTCTCTAGAAATATAGAATCCCTTGATAGCTCGAAAGCACTTATAAGCCCTCCTAAATATCGAATTATTGTCTCGAACACATTTGTATCCTGATCGCTACGGGTAAAGTCTATTTGGCTTACAAATTCTCTAGATTCGTTAAACTCTTCCTTTAAATCCATTATCCACAAGGTGTCCAAGGAATCAACGATTGTTGCACCCCACCCATTAAACTTGTTATTTCCTTGTTCACTAACGGGCTTTAATTCGTCATATCCCCACGCAAATTTAGTGTAACCTCGCCATGCGTGAAGAAACCCGTTTTTGATGGAAGCACGACGCTGCTCTCTGAGGTTTCTTTCTTCTATTGATTCGGCATCTTGAAAGTTGTATTGAATTTTTGGATAAGAGTCGATTGGCGATAATTGAAAATCAGAAATTACAAGAATTCCATGTATTAAAAATCCGAGGATAAAGATTAGAGTAATCGTTCGTTTTACACGTGTATTTAATCTCAGGGAAAATCTGTTTTCGTATGATTTCATAAGGACCATATTTTTGTCCTAGAAAATAAGCTGTTGCTCCAAAAAAATCCACAAGAGTTTTCGACCTCTGTTTACAGATAAAGCTTTTTGTGGTGTTATAATCGACATCGCGTGCATAAAAAGAGTATCAAATATGAGTGTAATATCACACAAATAAACATTCGCATTATTCCAAATTTCACTATTACCATAGGGTCAAGATAATGCTAACGATAACAGTTGTTCAATCAATCATATACCGTGATTAATTGTATCAATTTTGGAGCCGATCGGCTGGATCTGTTTCTAATATGATTAAAAAAGATTTGATACTGAATGAATTTATATCCTTTACAGTTTTATATTGCGTTTCAGCACGATGCTATGTTGTTCTGTAACGTTAATAATAAACTTCTATAATTAGCCATGATACAATAATTGGCGACTAAGACGCATCAAGTCGCTTCGTTTTGGTTAAGATCAACTTTACTGATCCCCTGTTTACTCGAAAACTCTAATTCACAAGGGTGCTTTCGAGCAAATTCGATTATTTCTCACTCGAGATCAAATAAGCAACAATATACTACATTTATCTATACATATAATCTTTCATCTGGTTTGGCGACTCGTAATTCGACAGATTCTCAATTGCCCAAATGCAGGTATACGCATTCTCATTACCAATCACCATTTTATGAAGTAGGGTTTACACAGCCATCCATAAATTCGGGTGTTTTTTGCAGCTCATCTTAACAACAATGATGTCGAGTAACGTTTCTATGTTATGCTGAGGATGAGTTGGAAACCTTAGCGGCGTCAATAAGACCGCGTTTTTCGGAAAGAAATCATTACTCGTGTATATTAATTTATTTATTGGTTTTCACTTAAATGCAGCAAATGTTTTTTTTTTTTAAGAAAAATTTTTTTTCTTTGTGAATTAAAACCTTGAGTTCCATATATGTAACGTAATTTTTATTGCCTTAAATTTTAAGATGTGATTACTGTACATAATCGGTTAAGAATTGATTTTTTTTATCGTATGCCAGCATATCTGTATATATCATTTATTTTTCTTTTTTAAATTGTGATCAATCATTATTAAATTATCAAACCAGTTGTGTTTTTTTATTTTTATCAATATCGATTTTTTTTTTGTATTTATATTTAAATATGCACGTATACATTGTACAAAAAAAAACATTTTTTTTAATTAATTTATTATTATTTATTTACTTGTCTATTTATTATTGCTTTGACGCTATTGTAACAAATTGAAAAAAAAAAACGTTAAAAAAATAATATTGATAATTAATTTTGTAAAAAAAAAAAAAAATTTATAATTGATTTCCAAATTATTATTATTCTTATTTAAACAAAACATGATTATGTTTTTTTTTCATAATTTTAATTTGCTAATTATTTAAAAAAAATTTAAAAAAAATTATATTATATCACTATATCAGTTATAAATATTTGTATCCTTTATAAAAATTGTATTGACTTGAAAATTTTAACATCAATAATGATTTATTATAACTTGTAAATTATTTTTTTTTTTTTAACTTGTTTAATAATAAAATTAAAACTAAACAAAAATCAAAATTGTAACCTATTTTCTTAAAGATCTTTTAACTTAAAAATCAAATAAAAAGCAAAATAATCTAATAATTATATAATTGGAATTTTTGATTAAGATATATAGAATTAATTAATCAAAAACTCTTTTATTAATAAGCTTTTATATTTTCTTGATATTGATTTTTTTTAATTATAATAATAATTTTTTTTAATGATAACAATTATTTATTTTAACAATAACAATTATTTTTTTTAAATTAATTATTTTTTTTTAACAATAACAATAATTTTTTTTAGATAACAATTATTTTTTTTTAACAATAACAATAATTTTTTTTAGATAACAATTATTTTTTTTTAAATAATAATTTTTTCTAAACAAAAAAAACTCTTTTACATTTACCTCATACTCCTTAAAAATTTCCTTTTTAGGAAATACTTTTCTTTAGCAATAAAGAAAAGTTTTTCTGTAAAAAAACAACTTACAATATTCTTGAGTTAACAACATTACACTATACTCTCTCTGGAGATAAGCTCTTGCTAGTGAAAAAGTTATAAGATCAAAAATAACTCTTCTCATCCTCAAACAAGTATCTTTAATGACAAAGTAAATAATACTATCGAGGTTTTGTCTATACCTCTTAATGATTTAAAAAAGTCAAGTGGTATTTCTTATACAGTTAGAAGACACAGGTTAGTATTCACAACAACACAACTGGAACATATAATATTAACAGAAAACAAATAACCTTAATATTTTCCACTCCTCTCCTATAATCTTTTCCTGTGGCACATACTCAGTTCCTTGTAGTGAGGTCTGAATATTTTGCAACTGAACTTCATCTAATCACAATAAATGGCAACAATAACACCTTACTCAAATCAGAAAGCAAATAGCTAATCTTAGTTAGAGATTTTTCAGACAAAATAAAAATTTGCAAGAAGACATAAGGAGTATAGACAATCACATGCAAATAAGAAATACAACATTGTATACATGAGTTTTTTTCCAATTTAAAAGATTTTTCTTTTCATGATACTTTTATTCTAAATTTCTATAAGTAGTTAACCTTTGTCCCAATTTAGATAGATATATTGTAGCATCAAACTCCAGATCTAATTAAAATTCTAATAGTGAGCTAATAGTGGTTCTTCCATCTTTAATTACAAATAAATTTATCAATAGCAATTAAAACTTTATTCTATGCTATAAAAATTTAATAACTAACTTTAACAATCTTATCAATAATCCTGAATAGGTATTCATAACTGCTTGGCACTATCTTAGATATGTAATAATTTTAATATTTATTTTCCTTATTACTAAGATAGTTTATATAGGCAAGTTAGTATTAGACTTATTAACTAGTTAGTTACATAAAAGATGTTATCGCTTTTTCTATATATAAATTTCAAACAATTTTACAATTAATAAAGTAATAATGTTTACCTACAAAAAAAAAATGATAGATATATTGTAGTATTCCCCACCCCTTTAAACAAGATTTCTTGTTTACATTTTCTACTTTACCTTAATTTTCCCAAAAAAGAAATTTTTTTATTTTCTGCAGGTTTTCTTTTTGAAATTATATTTTTTTTAGGCCTAATTAGAGCCAATAGAATTTTCTAATGGATATAATTAGTCTATGATTGATTGTATTAGAATACAGTTCTTTGAGTTTCTATTTATCAGATAGTAAATGGGACTAAAAAGCATATATCCTGGTATATTGGCACTTTACCTATACTATCAGGGTTCTGGTATTAATAATATAGGAGGATAAAGAACAATAAGTCAATCGGTAGTTAAGAATTTTCTTATATTAGATAGTTTTATCAGATAGAAAAAAGTGGTAAAATTTTTTTTTCGACAACTGGCATATACCTTGCTTTATTAGGTTTATAGAATTAGCATATACAAATCTGTTTTATACAAATTTTTCCACTATGTCTACCTAATAAAGCTACCTAAGCTAAGATTATTCCTAACTACCAGTCGGCTTATTGCCTTTCATTCTTTCTATATTATCAGCACCGGGGTCCTGATAGTATAAGTAAAGTACTAATGTGCCAGGATATGCACCTTCCAGTCCCACCTACTATCTGATGAATAGAAACTCGAAGAACCGTATCCTAGAATAGTCAGCTGCAGACTAGCCATATTCAATAAGGAGTCTTTGTGACTCTAGCTAGGTCTCTTGAAAAATCAGGTTTTTCTTTTATAGTCTCATGGACTATAGGAGTAAGGAAGCGTGCTCCATGTATAAGTATCAAGGAAATTATCAAACTTGATAATGATTATTGTAACACAGCCAGACAATTATTACACCGCTATGCCTTTCTTGGTATTACAATCCTAATGCCCATTGAATCAACGTGTGAATTGACTTCTTATAGAAAACAGCGCATGTTAGGTTATGGCATCAGATATCATCTTGAGACAGTCCAGTTACCTTCACCCGGAACTGAACTTGGTATTTTGTGATAGCGATTAGAAGATGCTGATCTTCTGCCTTCTGGTTTGAGAATCCACGTTAGCCCCCTGAAGAATTCGAACCATTATCTTGAGATCTGACCTGCGGAGCACTAACCACTATACTATAGACCCATAGGTAAAAAAAAAAAAAAAAATGGTAAATTTGTATAAAATGAATTTGTACATATTTATCAAATAATATCTAATAAAACAAAATATATGCCAGTTATTTAAAAAAAAAAATTTTTTTCTAATAATATATATTTAAAAAAATAATTTTATTAATTATAATTTATTTATTGTTTTAAATATTAAATATAAAATATTATTTATTATACTTTAGTTTATTGTTATTATATTAATAATTTTTAATATATAGTAGCTTATTAGTTTTATAGATTTTTTAGAAATATATAACATTTCACTACTAATTAATTATATATATGTTATCAGCTATACATAATAAATTAAGTTTGTTAACAAAAAAAAAAACTTTCTTCTGATCGTATTTGTTTTGTTAAAAATTTTCCTTTTATAATAATTTTAAGCAATAAAAAATGTTTTACATTCTTTATCGCAAGTGAGCCCCAGCTCAAAAACTCAAGAACTTTCAAGACAACTGGTGCAGTGGGATGGGATCTCTGGTCGAAGTCTATTCAAGTTTGAGAGTCTTGCTTATCTTTCGGTTGCATGAGGAAAGGCCCGTGGTGGTTCTCTTTTCTTCAGTTTTCTTGCATCCCTCCTTATCCTTATTATATCATAAAAACCATCTACATTATTACCATTATACTTGCTAAAAAATACACTTTTCAAAAT